CCTTTTCTGAAAGAAGATTTCCTATGATTATCATTAAAAATGATTTTTATTTTGAATACATATTAACAAAAGAAACCTGGACAGGCTCTCATCATAAAATCTTAATCGACCATAGTTCATGTTTAATTAGAGGAATAAACGATCAGTCGCAGCCGTATATCTCATTTTTTGAAAAACTGACTTGATTCAAAGAGTTTAAGGATTTGTGACGTTGTATATTCGAGAATTCTTACACTTTTAAAGTTATCTTAGCAAAGCAACCTTACTATTCCCGAACAATCAGGAAAATTGATGTTATGAAAAAAATTGATTCTCTGTCCAAAGTGTATTCAGCAAGTTTAATAGAATAACTAAACTGCTATATGTTTCGGCTCACCCCGAACTACGACTATACGAAAAAAAATAATTCATTTAAAATGAGACAATCCCGAACAGCTCTTAAAACCTTTTAGGGTCGTACAACTGCATATCTATTCCTGCTCGCGCCACAACAAGCAAATAATGCCATGTTTGCATTCACAAGTCCTTTACTGAATAGGTGTTGTTAGGTCAAATGTGTAATTAAGATTTCTTTTTAGCTCAAGAACCGAATCACTTAACAGTTTCGCAAAAAAACACAAATCTCACTTACTACACTTAGGACAAACCATTTAAATCAACGCCTAGTCGGTCGGCCACTCACGGCTAGCCGTTACCAAATTATGCTACATTTTTCTGTCTATTATCTGTTACATTAAGATTTTTCACGTGCATCAAAACTATTTCACTCATAACATATCGATTCGCAATCGAAAACTTCCAACTTTTCGATAGCACTACGTACTGTTCATCATGGTTTCCAATTTCTTTTTATTCTGACACAACGATATGCTGCCGGATTCTTTCTCACATTAGTACTCATTAAGTGCTCTCAAAAAACCATTTGAACTAACTAAGACTCATTTCAAAGCTGTGCTTTAAAACAACCTTTAAAACTAACGTCTACCTATTCGTCGGCCTTCCTTCGGTCGGCCACTCACCGCTAGCCGTTTCCATGTTTAACCCTACTATTTCCTCCACTATTAGTTTAGCTTTGAAGTGAAGAGGTGTATTTCGTCTGAATTTTTCTTAGAAGGATATTGAGTATTTGATACTATGATTCTTCAGAAGAAACTAAGAAAAGGAAAACTATGTTGAAAACTGTTACAAATACAGTATATTACATTGTCCCATAGGAAAGATCTTGATTTGTTATGAATTTTATTGCACAGTTGTTATTAACGACAACTCAACTGCAGAATTTTCAACAGCTATTACCTTTTTTAAAACTATTTATTTAAATTTTACCAAAAAATCCGATTATAGCTATCAAGGAGGAACCGGCTGGGTGAGGGTATTCTCATCCCGATAGCGATCTCGCTTTCTAAAATCGGTGCTCGTTCTCGTCCCGTTTAAATCGGATTTTTTTCAATCTGCCAGAAATAGTTTTTAAACACATGTCGAACAAGCGAATACTCACACCCACCGTATCCAATAAACTTTTTTCGTAAATACATATCCTTTGTGTAAAAAAATGAGGGATAAGAAAATCTTAAAAAACTAACCTCGAATTCGAAATCCCTGCATCAAAATATCTCTAAAAATATATTTTTCGAAAAATCAATATTGGATGTTTTTTTAACCTTTCACCCACCCCCTTCATCATAGTCACCCAACAGACCTCGGATTCGAAATCCCTGCATCAAAATATCTCTAAAAAAATGGGCTTCGAAAACTTTGCTGCAATCTGATTGGTTTGGACGGAATGACGGAATGACAGACAGACAGACAGACAGACAGACAGACAAACTTTAAGCAATTTTAGGCCCATGATTTAAACGTGATAAAACCCTTTCTTTCAGAAAAGGGAATAAACATACAAGAACATATATTTCCACATTTGAGTCTATAGGGTGTGGGTGAGTGTGGGTGTGGGTGTGGGTGTGGGTGTGGGTGTGGGTGGATGTAACTGAGAGTGTGCGTATGAAAATGAGGTCTATCTTCTTCAATGACTTCAAGAACACCCACATCCACCCTCTAGATTCGAATTCCTCGCATCGAAATACCTCGAAAAACGTTTTTTTTAGAAAAAATCGATATTAAATGTTTTTTTGACCTTTCACCCA